ACATGTAAATGTTGTGTTGAGTACAAGTAGGTACATCATATTTTTAGCTGTATTGTTGTCATGTTACGTGTATATCTAAAGCATAAAATAACTAGTTATAGTCGTTACAACAGATAGCAGTTCGATTCAACATCCAAACAACCAAGCAGTAGGTGCATTGATTATGCAAGTTGGAATCATGAGTAACCCGGCGACCGTCAGGGTCCAATTAAATGTAGTCAAAATCCACAGCCAGAAAAACAGAAAAACAGTGGTAAATACATTTTTTTGGACAACCCTCCTTTTAATAAATCCTGGTTGCGCCAATGATAATGGTTAGGCTACCTTAAATGTGAATTTTTCCATTTATTGTTGAATTCAAATTTGTGTTTTTATTGTTTACATAAATCTAATAAAATTGTTCACCATTATGACCTTGTATACAAATATGTTTCAACTCTCTAAAGTTTTTCTCTACCAATGTTGTCTACTTATAGTAAATCTAAACGACTAACATACTTCTCTATCAAATGTTATACATGTTTTCAACTCTAACCTAAATCTGTATAATGTTTCTTTCATTTGACTGATTTTTTTTATCTTCTGCATCTGTTATGAATATTAATACTTTTGTAATAATCTTGGTCAAATAATACCTGTAAATAAAAGAAATTAATACAAAATTAAGAGTTAAGGGAACATTTTAACTAATATTACCCATAAACCTTATACTATCAAAATTTAAGTTATTTATAAATGTTTTATGATAGAAAATGATGCATTAGTTGTGTTACTGACTTATTGTTTCAAATAACCTATTAATTTAACATTGAATTTTTTCTAATTCAGTGTTAGGTAGAGAACGATCAATGATATAAATATTAAATAGATATACATACATACAATAAATTAATGACGCCTTGCATTGACCTGTATATTTATTAATATCAGGATAATCTTTGTAAATAAAAAGTAATTATTAATTTTTATTGCTTGTTTTAATTTTTCATTGATGATTTTAAGTCCATTAATCAATTGTTTCAGGTAATCTAAATAAGGTACCTATTATTTGATTTTAAAAAAGAAAATGAACTTACTTATTGTTAGTCTGGTAGATATTCCTCAAGGCATAATTTAAATCTTTCTGATAGAAATGTACAAATGTCCATGTTTATTGTAGATGGATTTGAGAAGCAATAGCACATCGAAGGTCATTTAAAAACCAACTCGCCCAGCACCTGTATCAAATTATGAAATTTGTTTTAATTAAGAATATAAATAAACAAAATATCATACCTTAATATTGTTAAAAATTACATAATAACAAGGGTTTGGAACTTATAGCACATAAAACATGATAGTAAAAGTGCTAATAAGCACACAACAATCTGTTACATATGCGTTAAAAAAAGAATAATATGAATGACATTTTGTACATAACTACCCAAATATTTCTTATAAATAAAAGACGGACTTGTATCATTTATTACTGATGATTATAATAATTATGCTATTAATTATGCATGTGAATATACAAATAATTATAGGTATTTTATGTAATTGTTAAATGTTATGCCTAATGTATTTTCAATTAATAAATTATAATTTGTGTGAACATGTTACAAGTTTTAAAATGTCTGATAGGTTAGTTAGCTTGCTCATTAATTTATGAAATTATTGTTATTTAAAATATATGTATCATCATGATAATACAATACTTATAATCAATGATATTGCATCCATCAATAGCTAAATAAATAAACTTATTATAGCAAGCGTTTAAACTAGCATATAAGAGTTAAGATGCTTTTTGATCCAATTAAATCCAGGTTCATCAATGATCTGTTAATATGTCATTATTGACGTTGTGTATAGAAGTATTGTATTATAATCTTAACCAAGTAGAAAAATACAAAAATTAAATAAATGGACGGTTAATGAGTAAATCAACATAACTTAATATACATCTCACATAAACATCAATAATAATTTTGACATCCATATCAGTGTAAGGTATAGTGTAAGGTTAGTAAACAGATTAGCAGTAACGAATAGAGTAAATAAAAGAACATGTGCAAATGTTTATCCGGTATATTATATAAAACTAATATTTAAATGTATACACATCTTTAATGTTACTGATAACCTAAATTAATATACTTTATTATCTATGATAAAACAAGATGAGCACAATATAAAATAGCAAAAAAGAATATATTCAATTTTTTTTTTTAGTAGCCCATGTAAATACCTAATTAAAATATGAAATGTTGTAGTACTTCAAAAGTAACACGTTATGAAATACGTTAGATGAAAAATGTATGTGTTATATTTAAATCTATAGCGAAATAAAGATTAACAGCAAATACTATAGATATTGCAATAGTACTTGTTAACAGTTGTTTATTTATATGGTGCCGTTTAAACAATCTTGAGGCAACACACTTGCTTTCTTACAAACTATGTAATGTACTAGTACATTTGTTTACCACTAAAAATACAATTTACTATGGATCTAAAACTTTATAATATAATATTGTCATCTTATTATAAACGTAGTAAATTTATGTGCTGGAATACTCTTAAATTGTCAAAACATTTACTATTTAACTGCAAAGCCAAAAGACAATGGTAACGAGCAGACTAGTTTAATTCATCAATACAATGTTTGTACTGACATGAATTTTTATGTGCTTAAGCAGGCCATTAAGTGGTCTTAGTCTGTTTTTGGTAAGAACGTTGTTCAAGTTAAATATAATGTTTACATTTAAATATTTAATATTTTAATATGTGAAAATTTGAAAATAGTTAATAAACAAATAGTGATAAGAATGTTTGAGTGATAAGAAGCTTTTGGTATCGGAAATTATCTTGTCTCGAGACGCCTGTGATTGCAGATGCCGGTAGCCGGTCACAGACTTCTATACTACACTAGATTAGGAACACCAATACAATTTATATTGTAACAAGCGAAGCTCAGCTGTGGAAGGCCGCCATTTTGTCGGTTGGCAAAACATTTCATTTATTATACAAAATGTATTGGGAATAATATTTTTTTTTTTTTTAAACAACATGGTTAGAAATAATAAAATACGATACAAAATAAATCATAATATCATATTATTTGATATATGAAATACCATACAATTGCCAACCAACCTTGAAGCTTCAATTCATGGCGAGAGTATGTACAATTCTACTACTTTATAGAAATCTGTGTAGTAGGTGTATCGGACGGACCAGGAAAATTGTCTTGAACGGTTGCTTGGTTGTGCGCAGACGCGGTGGAACATCAATTCCGGCATTCGGCAGTCTGCCCGATTGTTATCATTGGACTCGAGTTTTGAAAAAAATCGGAACATTTTCGTTAAATATGATAAGACGGGAGTGATAGCGAAAGGTAAATAACGAAAAATAAAGTATAGTATTAACCACGGACTAAGATATATATCTTAGTCCGTGGTATTAACATAGAACGAGCCGTGTTAACAAATTTTGTATGCGAGTCCAATTACTTACCTTCTTAATAATAATAATAATAATAATAATAATAATAATGATAATCTCCAACTTCGAAGGATATTGTAATTTTGTTGCAACTTGATTACGTCATATTATAACTTATCAGTGTTCACATTTTTGACATCGACGATTTGTGTGAAAATGTAATTTTTATGATTGTAGTATAATTTGGCAATTAGGCAAGTCCGTGCTGTTTGGCGTACCTACCCAAGTGTTTCGAGACTCCAAGAGATTTATTTGTACCTACGTTTCTACTGGTTGAAAATCGTTGCATTTATCAATAAAGCATTGTAATAATAATTGTGCCTTTTCATCGTAGTGTTAATCGCGACCAGTTTGCAGTCCGCAATCTTAAAGGAAAGTTATTCATGTAAGTTACAAAAGTGTTGTACGTTATAATATGTTATATCGTTTAATCGTTATGCACGATGATCGGACAGTAGTATTCATTTATTATTGGTTAAATTCTATTAAATATTAGTATTTCGTCGCCGTCGTGCAAAAAGTGTCTAAATGAAATTTGAACTTTGTTGGGAAACCACAATTGAATATTCATAATGGTCTGGAAATTCACAAACTGGTTCGATTTTAATAATGTTAGTCTTAAAAAATCCTTAAAACAGTAAAGAAATTAAACCTTGAATTATCCAATTTTATATTTTAATATAACTAGCAGAATACTTGTAGAACATAAAAAAGGATAGATGAAAAAATGACCAACTGACTTTTTAATCACTTGATCAAATTAAGAAATGACTAACTGACTTACTCAAATCACTTGGTCAAAAAATGTGGAAAGTAAAAATATTATTATTTTATTAGAAAACAAAACAACAAATTATTTATAATTTGAATCAATAAAAAAAAAAAAACATAATAATGCTATAGTTTGTTTATAACAATTAAATAACACGTAGTACTTTAAAAAATTATAAACATAATAATTATAATATAATAATATTAATATCATCACAGAAACTTTTGTGTATAGGAATAAATGAAACATAATACTTTAAAATAAATAATAATGCTATAGTTTGTTTATAACAATTAAATAACACGTAGTACTTTAAAAAATTAAAAACATAATAATTATAATATAATAATAATAATATCATCACAGAAACTTTTGTGTATAGGAATAAATGAAACATAATACTTTAAAATAAATAATATACATAATAATGTTTTTATACTTGCGTGTATAACTAAGTAATGAAATAAAACTACTTTATAATAAACAATAAACATAACAATATTGCCATCACAGAAACTATTGTGTATAGGAATAAATGATACATACTACTTTAAAATAAATAATAAAAATAATACATTTTTATACTTTTGTGTATAACAAAGTAATTAAACAAACTAATTTATATTAAATAATAGACAATCGTCATAATAATAATAATAATATAAACACAGAAACTTTCGTGTAGGTATAGGAATAAATGAAATATTTTACTTTAAAGTAAATAATAAACGTCATAATAAAATTACTCTGATTGGTCTTCAAATTCAGTTATTATAATATTGGCATCTTTATTTTTTGTACAACTAGGAATATTTTTGTACCATTCATGGAATTCTTTTGGAATTGCTTCGGTATTGCACAACTTTAATAGATCTTTTTTTTTCGCATCGGATATTGGTATTTGTTTTGTGTATAATTGTTTTAATGTTTGTGGGCATTTTGGTGGTCTACCTCTCCCACCAACTCTTATTATTTTGAATTCCTCGTCTGAATAATTATATTTAAATTTTATGGCTGATGGGTTTGACTTTTCGTATCTCATGACTTTTATTTTTAACCAATTAACTTTTTCACTATTTTCATCGACCGACCGATTTTTCATTATTGTTCCTGCTAAACTTCGCAAGTCCATAAAATCAGTGTATTTTAACTCTTGGGCGGAGTAAGGTGAAGAAGACTTTTTACGCCTATTTGATCTGGCTAAGCGACAAATGGTCAACCAATCATGAATAGTATAAACCGGTACATTTTTTTTTGCATTTTCTATGGCACTATGCATACTGTCGACCTCCATATAAGAGTGGCCGCTCTCCATAAAATTATGTGTCAATATATTTATATTTTGTGAATTATTTACAACAAACAAAAACAACGCTGCAATATATTGATTTCGGTTCTGGCCACTACACGTATCTGAATATAATGATATCTCATTAACATTTTGTGGAAGTTGATTTATCCATTTTAACAAGGCTGAACCGATTTCTGAACTACCCCGTTGCCCTTCAAGTTCAGTCCATAAATAGCAAAATGCTTTGTTCGGCGGAGCAGCTTCATATACTGTAAGATTATAAGTGCATAATTTTCTGCTATAATACATAGACGATACCTCTGACGACGGAATTTGAAGTACGCTTTGCAAATCAAAAGTTGCACTGCAAACATTTTCATTCAGAATGGCACGTTCCTTGTCTAAATTTTTTGCAGCGAATGACTCGTCTTTTCTCCTAATATGATTTTCATAATTGGTTGCAATATCTTCTTGAATAGGTTTTTCAGCGTTTTTAAATTTTTCACATGACAAACATTGATCTTTTTTAGGTTTAAAAAAATCCAAATTATAATTTTCGGAAAATATAGTGCGGTAGGTAGTTAAAGATACAGGTTCATTTCCTTTTTCGGTTGATTCATGAATGTACAACTCATGCATTTTTGAAATTGAAAGAGTTGGATCTAAATACTGCCGTTTTGTATTTGAACGGCAATAGTGAGATTCAACAGTTGGGAACTTTTCTATATGATTTTTTATTGAATTTATAGTTTCAGAACTTTTTTTATTTACTGGTTCCTTCTTTCCTCTATTGTCTGTGTGAATATGAATTCCGGTTTTTTCATTATAACTTTCAAAAGCTTTATCAACCGGCCCATGACTAATAGAAAGGGTTTTTAAAAAAAATGGTTTGCAAACACGAATTGGAGTATTGTCATTCAAAAAATTATAATTTTTAGATGTTTGTTTAGCGATTCTCGAACCTGTTATAGGAACATGTCGTTTAACAGAATATTGGGATACACGAGACAAAATGAAATTTTTTTGCTGTGCATAATCAAGTGACCAATATTCCCTGCATAATTGAACTCTATAATCCTCATTGAAACTTATCGAACATTTAAACTTACATTTAGAACAATCTATCGCTAATGGTTTTTTAGATAATTTTCTTTTTTTTACAGCAACATTTCTTTTCCATTTCTCAGGCTGCCCTCGTCTCCACCTCACTAAATTATTATCCTCTTCCGTTTCAACTTCAATTTCTTGTTCTTTTTCAATTTCTATATCTTCAAATTCCTGTTCTACAATATTTTCACTTTCCTTCGTCATAATATTTTCAGATAGATAATTGTCATTTTCTTCAGAGTCCGATGATTTGTGATTATTATTAGGTTTCCATTCATCTTCACTGTCTAAATTGTCATCACTGCTAAAATCTAAAGCTTTTCTCTTCATTTTGCAATATCTATCCTCAGTACTAATATTATTATCAGGAGTTACTTTCAAATTTGTTAAAACTGCATACGTTTTTGGTGTACTTAAAATGACATCACCTTTTTTTAAAAAAACCAAGCCATTAATCATCAAACTATTTTGAAACTATAAATATCATTAACTCTATTTTAACTATAATAATAATAATAATAATAATAACTAATTATAATATAAATTAATAATTTATAATACTATTGAAAAATTATTACAATATTAATTGTGTTCTTATGAGTGCCATGTAATTCGTTTTACGCGACTTATCTAGTGATCAACAAAAAATGTGTGACCAGTAAAATAATATTTCCTATACAACACGGCACACAACCTCATCACAGTATGTTTATATTATTATATAATAACATAATATCTATAATATAATTAAAACTTAGTACTTACTGTTACTGTTGCATAGCGATACCAATTTTTTGCTTCGTGAGCTCATTTTAACAAAATTAAAAAAAAATTTTAATGCGAACGACAGTTGAACGTCGAAAACTGAGTGATAACATAACTTTATTATTTATATTATTATCATATTTTATTTTATAGTTGATAAAAGAAAAATAATAAATTACAGTGTGTCCATTTGGACATATTTTTTGTCAATATCGTATTGTATCAAAACTGTCCAAGTGCACTTGGTCATATATTGAATGTTATGTAAAAACTGATCAAATACACTTGGACAATTTTTCCACGTAGAAAAAAATATTTTAAACACTTAGTCAAAATACAACAGCCCATAACTTAGTATATATTTTACATTTTCACTTGGTCGTTTTTTCTATAGTTAAAGGAGGACTATGGTAACTATTTGGCCATATTATTTCACTTGGTCACTTTTTGCACTTAGACACTTTTTGCACGACGGCGACGATTTAATGGTATGATATCAGTATTAATATAGGTACGTAAAAAATAAACCATATAAAAATTAAACCATCATCGTACTCTAGTGAATAAAAATATAGGTACGTGTATCAAAGTTAAGCCGTGAAATTAATGTTACCCCAATCCAGCATTATATTTTCGAACGTTGGTATATTTATGTTATTTTGTAAGGTATATTATTACCTACATTCCCGTATAATATTTTCCTGTGTACCTACCTAATACATTCCGGATTATTACCTAAGTACGAAATACTTTTAGGGCTTTTTTTCATTCCAGTTAAATTCTTTCCCGATTTATTCATTCCTACGTAATAATTGTTTGTGTGTAATTTTTCTCGTGTAAATGTGTAAATTGTTTCAAAAATATCGAATTAAAGAACAGATTAAAACCATCTGCTATTCCATCATTATTTGTGTGGCTAAATAATAAATAGGCGCTTTTCAAACATTCATTTTTAATAATACAAATAATATCTCATAAAATCTGTGACTGTTAAATCAATAAGTTGTGGTTTTCTGGGTTTCATTCTTGTGCTTTGTACAGTACTCGGCGAGATTGCAGTAGACTTATTATGTATGAATTAAACTTAAAGCATACTATATCTTTAAAAAAATATGACAAGTGATATCTAACCACCCAACTATTCTACAGATGACTTTATTAATCACCACGAGATAACTTACACCTCAAAACACAATCATTGGTCTATAGGATACCAGAATACAGGTGTCATATACATTCCAAGACTGAGTGATCAAGGCTATTCACATCCATTGATCGAGTTCTTTTTTCTAAGTTCCAACTGCATACAATACAGATAACCGTCTACTGATAAGGCTAACTTCAATATTGCATAAAAATGCATACGTGTATGGTGTGCGGCAATAAATCTAAAAACACCAAGGTCAATCGTCCAGGAGTAATTTATCATGGGTGAGTATTAATTGGTTCTAGAAATTTACTCGCTCAAACTGCTGTGAAAAAAAATTCAATTTATTGTATTTATTAATATTTGTTTTAATATAGAATTCCCAAAAATTCATACATGAGAAGAAAATGGCTTAAAGTTTTTGGAATTGATCAGTTTCATGATTGGCAACGTATATGTGGTGATCATTTTTTAGAAGGAAACTATAAGCCAGGAAAAAAGCGATTTTTATTTTCAAATGCTATTCCCCAACCTTATGATCAAAATGGTTTTCCTTCTAAGTAATACTTCTGGGTCTCTATAATTTAATATTTCATTTTCAATAATATTTTTATTTTTATATAGTTATGCTACTCAAAATAATGATATTGAAACTGGAAATAATTTAATTTTACCAATTGAACAAAATATGCCGGTCAGTAAATAAGTATTAATATTTTTAATAAACATTGTCAATACAGTGTGATATCTTTATCTTTTTTATGGTTTTCCATGCTTTCCTTATTGAATATGTAGGGCCTTGGTCTTCAACGTCCTGGTTTCTCTTCTTTAGTAGTTAAGTGCTTCTAATTATACATCAGTATTATTCTTGACCCCTTATATTTATAAAATAGTTGGTAGTTTTACCATCAATGTGTGTACTCTTTTTGTAAAACTCTCGGGATACATTTTTTAGCTACTACTAATATTTACTGTAATTAATTGGGGATCTGTGTGATTCATTTAAGCATTTAGTCAAAGTGTCACGGTCTTTTGTGAAAATAAAATCAATCATACTATTTTTCTGAATTTCCAACGAAGACGTAGTAACTGCATCATATTGTACAGAACTTCTTTGGTTTGTTTATGCTACTATTAGTTTTGTTAGTAATTCAGAACAATAGTAAACAAGTTTGAAAAAAAAAAAATTGTAAAATTGAGTTACGACAGTTTTCGTTGCTGCTGTCGATATATAGATAACACAATTCTTCCCTTTCATTATACGTGACAGTATGAATTTCCATTTTAAAATAGCAACTGAACATTTTTGATGTACTTTAATGTGTACATAATATAAACCAATATTTTGTAAAATATAAAATCAAAATGGTTAACTATTAGATAAAGCTGTGTTTATATTTACTGCAAGGAAATAATCATCTTGTAGGCTGTTCATTGTATCATAATATACGATTAAATATGTATACACAACTTGTTTTGCATCATACTGTACAGTCAACGAGGTACTGAGAATCATTGATTGTAAATATCAATAATTTTTCTTAACTTCCACTTGAATAATATTTCAATGTTTGGAAAAGATTAGCTAATTCATCAAGTGTTTTATAGAAGTAAGTAGTACACTGATTCTATGTTATTCACAACCAGTACTCTGTAGTTCATTATTTTGGTTACAAAGACATGGAAGGATCCATACCCTCTAATTTCTACAAAAAATAGTTTTTAGACTATCCTAAATATATAGACTATACAAACTATACTATTGAATGTTATGTCACTAAAATATGTATCTAGCTCATATAATATTTTAATTTGTACTTTATAATTGGCAACCTAGCTGTTTCTAATATTAATATGAATTATGTGTTTATATTTTAAAGGACCATACCTTAGGATTTGGATTACGATGTTCCGTTAAAAACTGCTTTAACAGGTTTTCAAAGAATCTTACTTTCTTTGGCTATCCTAAGGATTTCACGCTGAGGAAAAAATGGATTGAAAAATGCGGTATAAAAATAGATCCCTCTAAAATAGTAATGAGTAGTACAAGAGTTTGTAGTACACATTTTGAAATCGATTGTTTCAAAAATATCGAATTAAAGAACAGATTAAAACCATCTGCTATTCCATCATTATTTTTGGATAACGGTAAGAAAATAATTATTATTTGTTGTTTTATTTTGTATTAACTTTTTAACTATTAATTAGCATTCTATTTTTATTGTCATTTTATTGCAATTGCAATATGTAATTATTCATTAAAACATTTTGATTTTAATTAATTTCATATTAAGTTTCAAAAGTCTATCCTTAATGCCCTCGAAATATATAGAACTTGCATATTTTTGTTGGATAAACATTCTTAAAATAATGATTTTCTCTTTTAAATCAGTTAATTCATGATAATGACTTGGGAATGTCCTTTTAAATAATCTTTCTCTGATGTTATATTTCTTTTTTATAATAAAATTGTATTTAAAATCTATATAATAATTTTAAATTAAAATCTTTTTTCAAATCATTAGCCCCTAATGCATTGCCTGTGTCAACTGATGAGGTATTGAGTACATGTGAAGATCAATTCATACGTCCAATTGATAATGAAGCTGCTGAACAGTCCTCAGAAGAAAAACAATACAATGTAAAAGGTACTGTGTAAAAAATTCTTACTAAAATACATTTTAACATGTAATTTAAATCCATCATAAAAACCAAATACTGAAAAAATTAATAACTTTTCAGATAATTCTTCCATGGCAATTGACCTTACAATTGATGATTTATCTAATGATTCGTTGTCCATTACTTTGGAACCCATTGAGAAAAGAACCTCACAATGTATTATAATGGATGTTTGCAATACTGAAGATCTTAAAATTGATGAACACGGGTTTATTTTTGAAATGACTAAGGAAGTAAAACTTCCTAGTTCATCTTGGAAGAGTGAAAACCTTAATTCAAAAAATGCAACACGATTTTATCAACGAAACATCGATGGTGTAACTATGAAGATAGTCCTTTTTCTTAATAACCTGGTGCCAACAATACAAATATATGGCAAGAAATATGAATATACAACGCCTATCAAAACAAAGAAGGAGTTGGAAGATCTCTTAGAAAAAGTCGATAGTATTGAAAAATGTTGCGGTAGGGGTGGATTTGTCTTTAAACAATGTTTAGGCTATTTTGAAAATAGTTTAGTCAATATGTGTTCTGGCTGTGAAGGGTTGGTAAAAGATCGAGATTTGCAAAGAATGAAATCAAAACTTGAAACGATAAACAAAAGTATGGAAAGTTTTGACAACAGAGTGAGTTTAATGGATTATCTTAAGTCTTAAAATAAGACACTCGTTCTTTCAAAAACTATTAAGGTTTTTAAAATATTTAAAAGCATATATATATATAATTTACTATTTTTCACTTTAAATTTATTTATTGATAACATACATTTTTAGTTCTATATTCTAAAGTAGAATGTTTTTTGGAATACCTAAATATATTAAAATCAGATTTTGTACAAGTAGCTTATGATTTATAATTAGAGCTCGTATTTGTATGCACTAGCATATTTATTATGGTTGATCGTATATTATGCTAAGTAGGCACAAAAGGTTTTCCCAGGGAATTAATTTTTTTCTTACTTTTTTCTTTACTAATTATTATTGAGGTAGGTACATACCTAAATAAATTCCTTTTAGGAAACATTTTTGATGTTAAGAGGACGCCACACAGACATTTCTTGTCTCTATTTTACAAGTGCCCTTAGCAGATAACTTTTAGCTCAGTTAGTTTAAAAATTAGATTAAATCTATCTATTATAAAGCTATGGTAAGAACATTATCTGTGTTTGTATATTGGTTACATAGATAATGTTCTTACCATCAAGTTTCATAATAGGTCGATTCACTCAAATTTTTAAACTAACTGAGGTAAACATTATCAGCTGTGAGTAAATTTTCAATGTTACGCACTTGTTGGACGAAGACAACAAATGGCCGTGTGGCATCCTTTTAATTGATTTCTATTTTACTTATAAATTAAAACTACCTACAAAATATTATAAAGAAAAGTATTAATAATAGCGTTCCATAATTTTAAATTAAACATTCAGAAAGTAAATGAATTTTTGAGTGCATATTTGAACATTTTAGTGCATAATATATATTAATATATTTATGCATTTTTAAGATTTTTTAGAGCTTTTATAGTTGGTTATTGTGCATTTTATATTATATTATATTATATTTATATTATTTATATTATTATATATTATATGCATACAAATCTGTGCTCCAGTTATAAGTATTTAAAAATTCAACAAATTAATGCGGAAATACTCCAATTAATATATTATGTAATTCAAAAGGTTAAAAAAAACCTAACATGGCATATGGTATAATACTTGCGATAAAAAATATTGTTCTGTAACGAGTGAATATTATGTAAACATTTATTAACTGAAAGGACAAGTGTCTTAAGTTAAATGGAAAACCTTGTATATTAGTTACTTATTAAAATAGCTTATATTTTAATTATATTTTATTTTATAGTTTGCTGAAAAGAAAGTACTTATATTAAAACTAAGAAGAACAATGGAGAGAAATCAAAAGAATACATCAACATAGACTCGCGTTAAAACCATCATGAATTTCAAATATTATGAATCCATAAATTGTATGCATTGTATAACACAATATTCATATTTTTTTTATTTTTTATTGGGGGTTCAGTCCAAAGCATATATTAAAAAGAAATGCATAGGATCAATAAAAGCAAAATATATTTTTACAAATTCAATACAAATTCAAAATATTTTAGTAAAAAGTTTTTAATAAATGGGATTTGTAAAAAGTATCAAAATAAAGTAATTAAGAAAGAAAAATTGACCAATAAACGCTAAAAAATACCTACCTTAAATAAAAAAAATTCATAAAATGCAAAAAAGATTCTAAATTGGGTATGTTTAATTAAACTGAACTAATTTATTTTTATCCATTACCAGCATTTTTAACAAATCCTTAAAGAACAATTTCTGATGAATTCATTTCTAGACTACGTGCTTTGCTCTGGCTATTGAATATTCAAACTTTGTGTACCCGTCCACAATCTACAACAAAAATCCATAAACAATGAAATATGGCTCAAAAATAAAATCTGCTAAATTTACAAAAATATGTTATACAAATTACAGATTTGCATTGGTCGTAGTAAAAAATAAATTTCAAATTTGTATCTTGTGGACATTATTTTTTCTTTTAAACATACAAAATAATATTATGTAAAATATCGTATGAACATATTTTTATTTATTTTATAATTATTCTAACATTTTTTTTTCTTTTAAATAAACAAAACAATATTATGTCAAATATTGTATGAATATATTTTTATTTATTTTATAATTCTATCATATACATTACATCATACATTTTAGATGAGCGGAGTGCAACAGTTTTTATTTTTATATCTAAGCCACACTGTATCTCAAATATATTTATATTTATACAAATTTATTATCGGTCTAATATTTATTATTATTATTATCATTATAAATCAACAATTTTCAGAATTTTTAAAAAAAAACATTTGGTTTTGTGACCCCATGTATAAGTAATAATACAACAAATGTGTCCAAAAATACTATTTAGTAAACAAATTATTAGAACATTATTTATCCAATAATATACATAAATCTAAAAAAACTGATTTCTTTTAAAGTGTAAAATGTATAATAAGTAATGGTCCAATGCTGGTCAAGGTAATGTTTTTTTTTAACTTACTGAAGTTAAGTTAATATGCATCAATAACAAAAAGTTAAAAGTGAATTTAACTGTACATTAACTCAGTTAATTTAAAAGTTCGTTCATACTTTTTGTAAACTTTTTATTAAGTAAAAAAAAAAAAAAAATTTGTTTATACAAGGCTAGTGTACTTAATTTTTTTCTAACCCAAAACTAAATTATAGACTATAATGTTTTACTGTGTACAGTATTTCCATATAAGTTTGATTCGAATAAATATGAATATAAATTTATAACTTTAAACAATTCATGGTAAATATTTTTTGACATGACAACAAAATAGACTGAAATAGATATATGTATAATGTATATATATAATAATCATAATTATTCTTATTATTCTATTGGACTTTCGGTTTCCAATAAAATTTAAAATGTATGTATGAATTTAAATAATTTTTTTAATTTTTAAATGAATTTAAAACATAGCAAAAACTGTTTTAGTCGAGGGAAAGAACCGAGAAGGTACAGTAATTACTGAGAAACAAAATATTCACCACATAAAAAGGAGAAATTTAGCTGCGAAATATAGGTTTTATTTTTCGATATCGGAACTACGAAAAAAGTTATTGGTGTTTGAAAAACCCAGAAAATAATGGATTTTGAAACGATAAGAACTTTTTTGTATAAGTGGTATCAAATAAATAAAAACGATATTTCATTTATAATGTTCTGAACTATATTGTATACCAATTTAGTGTTATAACTATCACTATACAGACTGAGTAGTTGTGGTTCTATCTGCGCAAAAAAGTTTTTACTATGTTGTACATTTGTAAGACAGAGACAACACATGCGGGTGTAGCGCCCACTTAAGTTCAATATTTTAATAGTACCTACCTACACGTGCCATAGAATAGTAAAATATAAATGGTCGATGTAAGATGTTCATCACCAAATCATTACAATAAATTAAAATTACATTTTTAATAAGTCATAAACATTTAGTTACGATACCCTAATTCTATAAAATAAATACTAAAAAAAAAGTTGAAAATATGGTTAAGTGCCTAAGGCCTAACTTAATATTATTTCAGCCTTTACAAAAAAATATATAGTTAGAACATTAACATTTTTCTTTTAATATAAACTAAATACCTTTAAAGGATCTTATTGTATTAAGTGAATAGGTACTGTAGAGCTACAGTGTAGACAATGGCAAGAATACATTGAAAATCTAGAAGATAACTTGCAAAAGCTATTTATTACAAAAAAACATTTTTAAACACATAATTATTTAAAAAATTATCATTTTTAATACATAGAATAGGCTAGAAATATTTGACTACCTTTTAGTCCTTTTGGCACTACTATATGGATTTTTAATACATAGAATACTGAATAGGCTAGAAATATTTGACTAAATGTTGGTCCTTTTGGCACTACTAAGTAGCTTTGTTGAACAGTGTATGATATACACGTAATGTGGGTTTTAGATGGTCACAGATCTTTGAAACCCTAAATTGCCTTTTTTTTTGTATTTAAATTGTATACAATTTATAAAATTAATTTGTGTTGCATCATTCAAAAGTAATTACTACTATTGAGTTGGATGGAAAAAACTAACAAAATAAGAACTTTTATTGTGATTTACAAATTACTTTAATATAAAAATTCACTAATTTGAAATGGGTTTTTTATTTTTTAATCAATTTTTTGAAAATTCTGTATACGCCACTGGTATGACAAATCATTTATTGCAATAAAAATAATTACAATTTAATTTCTAAACACATTACTTACAAAAACACAACATAATAAAATAATATTGCACATTCATGACGCAGTATAATCTACTACAATATTGACTTAAAATATATAACAATATTTAATAAAGTTATAAAATTATAAAAAAATCTTATGTTGATGATATTATTGTGAATAAAGTAATTTATATATTATAATAAAGTCCATTTACCCTTGTTTTAAATTCTCAATCCTTAGATATAAAAATTGGACATGTTATAATTTACCAACTACAAAATAATTATTAAATTTAAAATTTGATAAATTTTGTCAATATTCGAACTTTAATTGATTATAAAAAAAAATTAGGACCGTGTATTTTTAATTTGTTTCAACTACTATTGTAACAATATATCAGGAGTCTTGTTTTAAATTTTCACGCATTTTTATAGAACAATTAAAATTTTATTGACAATTATAGAAAAAAAATCGAAAACTTATAATTTCCGTAAACCGCTCAAAAATAGTCAAAATATTTTCAAAATCTTATGGTGTATAGTAAATGAAAACATAAACTTTTGTCAAGATATGAACTTGAAGTTGGAAATTTAAAGTGTCCCTAAACAGTTCAAAAATAAATCCAAATATTTTGAAAATTTTATCGTGTATATAAAATACGAACATAAACAACCAGTGAAACGGTCAGAGTTAAGAAATTGAAATATAACAAAAAAGCCTGAGTTTCCCTAAGTAATAATCTTTCCTTTAAATTCTATAATAGGTAAATTCACTCTAATTTTCACTAACTTTGCTAAACTCTGCTGAGCGTAAAATATTGTGCAATTTTAGGC